GAGCTGCTGAAGCCGGTGGTACTACAGGCGCTGGAGCTGCTGGTCCTAGAGGTTCTGGAGCTACTGAAGCCGGTGGTACTACAGGCGTTGGAGCTGGAGCTGCTGGAGCTGGAGCTGCTGGAACTGGAGCTGCTAGAGGTAGTGGAGATGCTGGAGCTGGTAGTGCTGCAAGCGTTGGAGTTGGAGACGCTAGCCCTCGGGGTGCTGGTGTTGTCGGTGCTGGTTCTGGAGGCGTTGTGCGGCCGCAACCGTACTTTGTTCCACTCCTTGAGCTGGTTCTTGGTCTCTTGCCTTCTAGTGGCCTTACTCCTCCCTTACTGTGTCCACCGCCTGACCACTCACAGCCGCAGTTACAGCCAGCCTCCTCACTGCCTGCTCCTTCTCCTTACACTGAGCAGCCCAAAGGTCTTACAGAGCGTCGTAAGCCTGCGTCTCGTCCTGCATCGCCTGTTTGCGCTGTTCGCACTGGTCATCATGTTCCGCGTCGGCATCCTCCTCCTGTACCCGGCATGCACCGGATGGCACTTCGTCCTTCCTCTGTTCCACTGCGTGTCCCTCTACCGTCTCCTCCTGCGTCCTCCCTTGCTGACGGTCTGGACCCGGAGTCTGACTTACTTTGTGCTACCAGCCCTACAGTCGCGCGTCTGCTGGCGACTATTGCCACTGACCCTTCGTTTGAGTCCACTACTACGTCTGCTCTAGTTGCTGAGCTTGATGACGTCGCATGTCGTCTAGACCACGCCGCTTTTCTTGTTGCTGAGTCTGAGTCTGCCTGTCCTCCGTCCGTCGGAGGTGAGTGTGCTCTTGGCACGAGCGTCCTTGAGGACAGGCAGGAGGACTTCAAGTGTTTTGCAGCTGTGGTACCTCATCTCGTATCCACACTGATTGCACCTGAGGGAGACCCAAATGCACCAGACATCCCGACCCCGTGCTCTTACGCAGAGGCAATAGAGGGTCCCTACTCCTCTCGATGGCCGATAGCCATGGACGCAGAGATGGCATTGTGGAAGTCCACAGGCACATACATCGACAAGGTTCCCCCGCCTGGGGCGAACATCGTTAGTGGCAGGTGGATTTTCAGGGTGAATCGGCCGCCGAGTTCTCCGCTTGTCTTCAAGGCGTGTTTACGTTGCATGAGGCTTCAGTTAGCGACATGAAGTTAACTTCTTCCAGACCTTCTCCTCGACACCAAAGATGACCACTCTCCAGGTGACTGCTGCACGTCGTCGCTCAGCGTGACTACGAGCTTCACTCTCTTGACTTGAGCACAACTTTCTTACAGGGCAGCCTGCACGAGGAGATCTGGCTGCGCCGCCCACCGTGCTTCACTGGGTCGTTTCCTGCAGGTACCCAGTGGAGCCTCTGGCGGCCAGTCTACGGTCTCCGCCAGGCGCCTCGCGAGTGGCACGGCACACTGAGGACGACGCTTGCGGCTCTTGGGTGCAGGCCTTCAACTGCTGACCCGTCGATGTTTCTACGCACCGACACTTGGCTGCCGCCGTTCTACATCCTCGTGGACGTCAACGACTTGGTCTTTGCCACTGCTAACATTGAGGGGATTGGCCCACGCGAAGTTGGAGCTGCAGAATAGACACACATGCACACACCTCGGTGAGCTGCGCAGCTATGTTGGCTTGCTGATCACCCGGGACAGAGCACGCCGCACCAGAACCTTGACTCAGTCACACATGGTGCAGCAGGTCCTTCAGCGCTTCCGATTCACGTACTCCTCGTCACAGTCCACTCCTCTTCCCACCGGTCACTCGCTCTCAGCTCTGCCTTCGGATGAGCCTGTAGAGCAGAGTGGCCCATATCCAGAGCTTGTAGGCTGCCTCATGTACCCGATGACCTACACTCGACCTGACCTTGCCTACCCTCTTAGCATCCTGGCACGCTACGTTGCGCCCGGGAGGCACCGACCAGAGCACTGGGAGGCCGGTAAGAGGGTGTTGCGTTACTTGTGCAGTACATCGGGCATGGGGCTCGTGCTTGGAGGACGGGCTCGAGTTGTCCTCATGGGACATGCAGACGCTTCTTGGATTGAAGACTTGGCTACGCAGCGATCGTCACAGGGTTACACCTTTAGCGTTGGCTCCGGCTCTTGTTCTTGGCGGTCTACGCGCTCGTCTTCTATTCTCAGTTCCAGTTGTGAGGCTGAGATCTACACAGGGGCCATGGCTGCACAGGAGTTATGCTCGCTCACCTACCTTCTGACTGACTTGGGCGAGCCGGCTTGTTCTCCTCCAAATCTGTACGTTGACAACAAGGCCATGATTGCCTTGTGTTAGGAGCACAAACTGGAGCACAGGACGAAGCACATCGCTCTGCGTTACTTCCTTGCTCGAGAGTTGCAACAGCGTGGACAGCTTCGTCTTGCTTACGTGGCCTCTCAGGCCAACACTGGTGATATCTTCACCAAGGCACTTCAGCCTTGTGATCATCAGCGGTTCTGTACTGTTCTAGGCCTTGTGGCTATTTGGCCTCACTTGCTCACTTCTTGACTTTGCTTGTACTAATCTATATACATATACATGCATGCTTACACTTGCTAGGTTTTGATCATTGTACTGCTTGTTCTGCTTTATATAAATCAGCATGTGAACTGGCCTTGTGGCCATTTGCTTGTGCTCAGAGTGCGTGGTGACTTCGTGATCCACCCTGAGCTTGCCTTGCTTTTCTTGACTAGTCTCGTGACCTCTTGTTCTCCCCCACGTTTCCTATGGGGGTGTGTCAAACTTATATGCTGCATGTTGAGTAGGCTGTAGTGAGGTAGTCCATATGGGATACAACTCAATTTGGGTTTGCTACTTGTACTCCTGCATGCTGCTAGTTCACTCATTCTCGTTCATGATTCTGACAACATACAACAAGGCTTTGAACATTTGCCCTGACAAATCAAGGCATTTTTTAAGAATTTAGATAAGCGCCTTGAGGCCTCAAGTTGCCCCAATTCCTAGCACATTCCTTGAAAATAACCTCCTCGAATTGACTTGTGAAGACATGTGCATTTACTCTGTGAGTGGTTCTGGTATTTGGGAATTCGGGTTCATTGTTGTCGTGCAACCATGATTTTCGTGCCTCTAATTTCTGCGCGGGGTTAAAAAAATGCATTCGTAGTTAGCCAAGATTGCACGCGAAATTGAGTTACATTCACTTGGAACGCGAGTTACAGAAATGAACCAGTAGAATTTGTCTACCCTAAAACACGACATGTTTAACCCTGTCAATTTCTGGTTGATCATATTCATCTCACTAAGTCCCACATCACACAAAATTAGGGTTCGCGATCAATTAGTGACGATACTAGAACGGCTAGGTCTTAGTCCGACAACAGCCCTACCTAGCATAACCCCGTACTTACGTGATATTAGAGCGGTCGGCGCGTGATAAATACGCGGTTATGGCAGGTCCAGCCTTTCGTGGTAGGAAGGCGGCGAAGAACCTCCGTGATGACACACCGGCAGAGAAACTGCCGCGGAAACGTGAACACATGTTACATCCCAATGTAGACTCATGCGAAGATGACGGGCTTTGTCGCTGTGATAGGCCGAAGTCGGCGCATGCACAAGTATCGTTTACCAAGGAGCAGTGCGCCACTCCATCTGAGCTGTAGTCTTGAATAAGTTCTCCCCGCATAATTATGGCATGGAGCAGGCATTTGAGACCCCTTTCAGGCGTTTGGTAGAATCTCCGCCTGACGACCTCATTGCGAAAATCACTGAGATTTTAGAATCCCTTTCCTAAATACTCATGAGAAGTCTATAGCTACTACTGGCAAGTTAACGCATCCGTTCTCCCCATTAATGCAATTCGCGACCATCACGGAATGATGGCCATTATCATGATGGCCGACGCTCTGCACATCACCGATAGACAGTCGATCACGAAGCCTCTCATAGTTTTTCCTAACATGTGAGTCCCATACCACGGATTTGTTGTATCATTTGTTGTACCCTTGTGTTTCGATTCTCGGGCAAACGACTCTCTCCCTGTTGTGCTATGTTTAATGCCTCTGTCACCGCAGAGTGCTCAATATTCGCCGGCCCAAGCTGAGCAACGGGAAGACGTGGCTCGTGTTGGACAATCAGATCTCCAGAGGAAAGGCCGGACTGTCAATCTTCAGCTACGGCTCTGGCCATGCCAATCTTTGGCAGGTAAGTGCCATAATCACGTATCACTAGTCTAGCCTACACGCATATGGCTTCTGCCGTTGTAATGCCTAAGCAGTGACAAATGTTGTGTTATGTCTGGTTGATGCAGGTTTTATTTCAGTGTGATGACTGTCGTTAATCCACGAGTTATGGCTCTCCCGCTCGACGAGGACATCGCCACCGAGCCTGCGTGGTTGCTGCTATACGACTCCCTTGGGATGCATGCTGTGGGGGGCAATGCTTTCAAGAACATGACCAAATAAGTTTCCGCAAGTGGTTGCATACATCCATTCCCTTACAAGCACTCAAACATCACGGCGCATGCTTCTGTTTCATTCATTCAAACCCTAATCCGTCTTTTTTCCTAACAAATGCGGCCCCGTCATAGCTTGTTTCGCATGGCCTTCGAGAAGGAGCATGGAAACCATATAATATAAGAGATGAAAGCGAAGCTTGGGAGATTCAAGCCATACATCATGGAGGTGTGTTGACCAGTAGTACGCTCGTCTACCATGGTACAACCTCTTGTTATACATGCTCATCCATAATATTATAGCAACCCTAGAACCCTGGTGCAACATTGTGCATGTTGCACCTTTGTGCACAATGCTGCCAAACACCCAATATACTGCCTGGTGCATAGTGTTCCCGTGTGTAGGGTGCCCCTGTGCTGATTGCAGCCATCTTGATATGCATGGTGCATTTCCGTGCAGATTGTTGCATTCTGCATGGTGCGCCTGTGTGACTTAGTACATTCTACATACCACATTTAACCAATGATGATTGTGTACACCCTCGTCCGATTTTCTTTACGCTGAATGTGCCTTTGGTGTGTTGCAGGTATGGCAGATGCCTCTGCAGACGAGCGATTTTGACTGCGGCAACTTTGTATGCCAGTACATTCATGCGCATGTGGAGGCGTGCTTTGAAGCTGCTGAGAACGAGGTGCGGTTCAGCATGAGCCAACTTGCATACCGACGTGGGTTACGGGAGGATGTGTCCGCTCTTGCTGAAGGACAGCTGATCGGCGAGCTCACGACAGCTGGGCACGAGATCCCTCGTGGCAATGAGATAACGAAACCACCTAAGGCTGAGGTGATTGGTGATGAGGTGGAGGATAGGGAGTGGAGAACGGAGATGGCAGCACGGATGCATAGGCTGGTCGATCGCAATGAGAGTCAGGTAGTGGCTGTTGCCAAGCTCGAGAGGCAATTGCGTGAGCTGATGCTTTCCCGTACTCCGCAGCATGGCGTTGACGGTGATGCTGCAGGGGAGGGACATGGTGATGTGGGAGGGGACGGTGGACCTGGTGAACCCGCACATGTGGAAGTCATGGGTGGGAACAATGGCGGCACCCATTATAACGTGACGGGTGCATATGGTGAGGGCCCTGTGGCAAACGTTGAGACAGGTGAAGGTGGGAAGGTCGGTATGCGTGACCACGCTGGGGAGGGTGATATGGCTGACGGTGCGACGAGTGACAATGAGAAGGTGGGGGTGCGTGATGAAGGTGCTGGAGGCTTGTTGGGTACTACGGATGGTAACAGAGGTGCTAGAGAGGCAGTGGGTACTAGGCATGGTGTGACAGCCTTGAACGTGGATGTGGATTCGGTGTCTGCATACAGCACAGGGACTGAGACGACGAGTCGCAACACTGCGCGTGGTCGAGCTCCTAGCTCAGGTTTTTTGCGCTAGGACGGTACACTGAGATCTTGGATGCCGCAAAAGCATATGCGGCAGCCGCCCACAACTGCCGGACGTCCCTCTCCAGCTCTAAGATGGTGGAGTTGAGCGTGGAGGAGAGGAGGTGGTTGGAGGGTCTGGCGTTGCAATGGGTTTAGAGGATTGTGGATGCCAAGCGGTGGGCAGAGGAGAAAATGGCGTGAAGTGCTCAGCAGCCTCCCTGAGCCTTCCACCCCAGCACCAGCAGGAGTTCACACACAAGCTCCACCTCCCTTTTCCCACCAACACCCTGGAGCCACGTTTGGAATTACCACCCGCCAGCTGCCGCCTTCGCGGGACACGCCGGTGCAACCATAGTACCTGGTGGATGGCAGCCGTGCACCCAGCAACAGGTGAGATGTGTGGTTGTGTCACAGTAGTGCTTATCCATAGCCTGTGATTTTCTTAACCATGCACTAAAGTTTTGAACTTGTTTGCTGAACGTGTGCAGGGGCAGCGGACGACATTATTGATGCGACACAAAAAATGATGTGGCTTATGGTCAACATGGAATTGCGTAATCCGTAAACATAAAATAGTCGTTGTTAAACTATTATAAACATGCGAAGAGCGTGACATGCCTAGAGATACAAAGGCTTAGCCCTTTGCCTCTGATTGGTGTTGTACAGATATAACGTTAAAACATAATTGAGGAAAGTAGCTACGGGAGAATATATTTACGGAATTCATAAAAAGGTATAATATGCTCCCAACAGCACACACACTTGATCATCATATATGCGCGCTCATATAGGTTATTGCGCTGTCTTATATATTGGAATTTTATTATTGCGACTTTATATAACCGTATATGCTGGACGCACAATGTCAAAAAATGCTCCGCGCATAAAACGGACCCATCACGCGCAGTCATTCAAAGTCGTGCGCGTTGACGTGTCAGAACATATAGCTTACTTGTTTGTGTAGGCTATAGTGGGGTATCCCATAGGGGGTACAACACATTAGGGTTTCCTATTTGTATTCACTTCACTTCATAGTCATTCATTCTCGTTCTTTGTTTTCACATGGAATCAGAGCAGGTTCCCTCCTAGGGACTGCTTCTAGGGCCCACCAAACCGCGCCCCGAGGCGCGTTTTTTCTTTTAGCGACCCGTCGTGTCGCTCCTAGCGGCCCGTTGCGCCGCCCTTCCCCTAGCGGCTCCGCCGCCCTTCCCTAGCGGCCCCGCCGCCCTTCGATCGCGGCCCCGCCGCCCTCTGCTACGCGGCCCCACCGCCGCCCTTCGATCGCGGCCCCGCAGCCCTCGGCTACGCGGCCCCGCCGCCCTCTGCCACGCGGCCCCGCCGCCCTCTGATACGCGGCCCCGCCGCCCTTCGATTGCGGCCCCGCCGCCCTCTACTACGCGGCCCCGCCGCCCTCTGCTACGCGGCCCCGCCGCCCTCTACTACGCGGCCCCGCCGCCCTCTGCTACGCGGCCCCGCCGCCCTCTGCTACGCGGCCCCGCCGCCCTCTTCGGTCGCGGCCCCGCCGCCCTCTGCTACGCGGCCCCGCCGCCCTCTGCTACGCGGCCCCGCCGAGCCGCCCAGCAGCAGCCGAGCCGTCGCCGAGCCGCCGCCGCCTGAGCCGCCGCCCGGGCCACCTGAGCCGCCGCCCGAACCGCCGCTGAGCTGCGGCCGAGCCGCCGCCCGAGCAGCCCGAGCCGCCCGTGCCGCCCGAGCCGCCCGAGCCGCCCGAGCCGCCCGAGCCGCCCGAGCCGCCCGAGCCGCCCGAGCCGCCTGAGGAGCCGTGCTGCTGTTCCTGATCTGTGTTCCTCTGCTGCTGACCTACCCGACTCTCCCAGCCCGGTGAGACTTTCAGCTGCTGCCATGGCCACCCCCAATGTTCTTACTTTTGACGCTGAGGGGAGGGCCATTGACTTTGCCGTCTGGATTGAAGACCTGCAGCTGTACTTACTGTGTGATGCGATAGATGAGGTCTCTTTATTTGACTTTGTCTCTGGCGCTGTCCCTGCCCCACCTGCTGATGCTGACTCTGCCGTTCGCTCCAAGTGGGCGACCCGCGATGCTGCTGCACGTCTTGCTGTGCGTCGCCACCTCCCTTCCTCTGAGCGTGCCCACTTTAGTCAGTGCAAGACCGCTCAGGCCTTGTACGACGCTGTAGTTGCACGCTACTCCTCCCCTTCCTCCGCTACCCTTAGCCGCCTCATGCTACCGTTTCTCTTCCCTGACCTCGCTTCCTTTCCCACTGTCGCTGACCTCGTTACCCACCTCCGTGCTAGTGACACCCGCTACCGCGCTGCCCTTCCTGCTGAGTTCCGCGCTGCGAACCCTCCTCCCATGTACATCACTCTCTACTTTCTCGTCACCCGTCTCCCTGAGTCCCTTCGTGTCGTTAGGGACCAGTTTCTCTCTGTCTGTCCCACCACTCTCACTGTCGACCTCCTTGAGGAGTCCCTGCTAGCGGCTGAGAAGAGTATTGTCGCTGTAGGGGCCTCTCGGGGTGACCCTCGCACCCCCATCTTTGAGGGGTGTGGTCCTTCCCCCCTGCTGCCCTCTGTCGCCTCTGCCGCTGCGGCCGACCTCACTGGTTTTGAGTCGGTCGGCGCGGCGTCTGCCCCCAGCGGCAGACGCCGCTCTGGCAAGGGCAAGGGGGGCAAGGGAGCGGGTGGAGCTAGAGGAAGCGGTGGAGGAGGCGGTGGGGGTGGCGGGGGGAGTGGGGGTGGCGGTGGGGGTGGTGGCGGGAGTGGAGGTACTGGTGGCGGCGGTGGAGGCGGAGGTGGCGGCGGAGGTGGTAGCGGAGGAGGCGGTGGGAGCGGTGGGAGCGACGGTCCTGGTGGGGGAGGTGGAGGTGGAGACGGGGGTGGCGGTGGAGGCGGGGGTGGCGGTGGAGGCGGGGGTCGGAGTGGCTCGTCCCAGTGGAGCAGCTCTGGGGGTGGTCAGCGCCAGCAGCAGCAGCAGCAGCAGCCGCAGCAGCAGCCACAGCAGCAGCAGCGCTCTCGCACCGTCCCCACCCCTCAGCAGCTCCGTGACTGGTACTCGCAGCGTCAGCGTGGTGGTGCGCTTGGTCCTTGCCCCTACGTTCTTCGCACCGGTGACCGTGCAGGGGAGAGGTGTGGAGGCGCCCACACAGCCCGCCGCTGCTTTGGCCGCCTGACTGACGCCTGGCGTCAGCAGTTTCCGGAGGCAGCTGAGATCCCCCGCTGGGGAGAGCTGTCTAGGGCTGGTGTAGCTATTTATGATCTTGATTTTGATGATATTCTCTCTGCTATGTATGCTGCGATTGGTAGTGATGAGGATGACTGTTACCGGTGTTTCCCGCCCGACCCGGGCATTGGTACTGCCGCGTCAGGTCCTAGTGAGGCTGCTGCTCTAGGTGCCAGTGCGTCTGTGCTCTCAGGTGCTGGTGAGTCTGCCCTCTCAGGTACTGTGTCGGCTTCGGCCTCTCACACCTTCACCCTTGACTCTGGAGCGTCTCGCTCCTTCTTTAGGGACCGCACCACTCTCACGCCGCTGAGTCGGCCGGTTGCGGTGTCCCTGGCTGACCCCTCTGGGGGGCCTGTCCTGTCTCGCTTCTCCACTGTCCTCCCGTGTCCGGCGGCCCCCTCTGGCACCCTGACTGGTCTTTACCTCCCCTCGTTCTTGACGAACTTGGTGAGTGGTGCTGACCTCCAGGATGCGGGTGTCCACCAGTTCACCCCTGCTCGTCAGCGGGTGACCCACTGCACGGAGGCGGATACAGGTCGCCACCTGGCTACGTTTACACGTCGGCCAGGGTCGAGCCTGTACACACTGACCACTGCTTCTCCTCCAGGTGCTGAGTCTGGTCAGGTGTTTGCTGCAGCGTCCAGGTCTGGTCCTGAGTCTGCCCCCTGCTCGTGCCGTCGTCTGTCTCACGAGACCCTCCTCTGGCACCACCGCCTTGGCCACCCCTCTCTGCTTCGGCTCAGAGGCATGGCCTCACGAGTCCTTGTGTCTGGTCTTCCCCGGTCTCTCCCTCCCCTTCCTCCGGGCCCTGGCCCCACCTGTGTCCCCTGTGTCGAGGGGCGCCAGCGTGCTGCCCCTCACTCCTCCCAGTTTCCTCCGACAGAGGCCCCGTTGCAGACGCTTCACATGGACGTGTGGGGCCCAGCCCGCGTCCGTGGACAGGGTCAGGAGCGCTACTTCCTGCTGGTGGTTGACGACTACTCGCGTTACACCACAGTCTTCCCCTTGCGCAGCAAGGGTGAGGTCACTGAGGTGTTGATCGACTGGATCCGCGCAGCTCGTCTCCAGCTTCGGAGGAGCTTTGGCTCTGACTTCCCTGTTTTGCGTCTGCACTCGGACAGAGGCGGAGAGTTCTCCTCTGGCCTCCTGAGTGCCTACTGTCGTGCGCGAGGCATCCGTCAGACCTTCACGCTTCCGGACTCACCACAGCAAAATGGGATTGCTGAGCGCCGCATTGGCATGGTCATGGACGTCGCTCGTACGTCCATGATGCATGCGGCTGCTCCCCATTTTCTGTGGCCGTTTGCGGTCAGTTACGCTGCGCACCAGATCAACCTCCACCCCAGAGTCTCTCGACCGGAGACCTCCCCAGCCCTGCTGTGGACGGGGAAGGTTGGCGATGCGTCGGCGTTCCGGGTCTGGGGATCTCGGGCGTTTGTTCGCGACCTGTCTGCGGACAAGCTGTCCCCTCGTGCTTCTCCCTGCGTCTTCCTGGGGTTCCCCCCCGACGCCCCTGGGTGGCAGTTTTACCACCCCTCCTCTCGACGTGTTCTGTCCTCCCAGGACGTCACGTTCGACGAGTCGGTACCCTACTACCGCCTCTTCCCCTACCGCACTCCGTCCCTCCCCCCGCCCCCGCTCTTCTTGGTACCAGGTCCCCCCCCGGTAGTCCCCCTCCCCCCTCAGGGTCCTGCCCCTTCAGGTCTGTCCCAGGTAGACGCGGTCGAGCCTGTCGAGGTCACTGGTGACTCTGGTGCTGCTGCGGGAGCTGAGCCTGGGGGTGCGGAGTCTGGGGGTGCTGAGCCTGGAGGTGCCGAGTCTGGGGGTGCTGAGCCTGGGGGTGCTGAGCCTGGAGGTGCCGTGTCTGGGGGTGCTGTGCCTGGGGGTGCTGAGCCTGGGGGTGCTGAGCCTGGGGGTGCTGAGCCTGGGGGTGCTGTGCCTGGGGGTGCTGTGTCTAG